ATGTAGAAAACATTCTAGTGACTAATGGCATGGATCATATCTATGGAAATGAAATACCCCAAAATCCAAAATGGATAAGAAGTTTTATCATAATCAGTAAAGAAAATGAAATATACATGTTTACAAAAAATTTAGAGAAGATGAAATCATTAAAACAGTACTGTTGGATTAAAAGAAACATTAAAAAAGAAAATTACATAGTGGATCCTTATGATCATAATGGTATCTCCATTGTCTTTAAAACTAGGTCAAACTCTTTAGATCTTGAAGGGATGGATGGATGGATGGAAACATTACAGGGGTAATGGAATTTGTGAAGTCTGCAATCAGGGCAAAGAAGACATTTACCACTTTCTTTATCTTTGTACGTCATCTAATCATATTAGAAAGTAAATTTTATTTAGCATTAGAAACCTCACTGAGAAACAATGTTGAATCATCATCACTAATGAATAGTTTTCCTTCAGGGGGTGAATTATAGGTTCAATTTCCTTTTTGGAACATAAATGAAAATGTGGGAAATACCTCACCAGCTTTAATTAGGAAATATGTAACTGATTTATGGCAATATAGAAAAGAAATGATGAATGTAATTTAAAGATATGTATTACTGTTTTCATGCTGCCGATACAAAGGTTGAATAAACATTATTATTATTATTATTTTTATTATCACGTACGTAATTTTGAATTATTAGTCCGTATTATTCTAGTATACACGAAATAATAAATTTACATTCCACGCCTCGTATGTGTTTAATAAATTACGTGTGTTTTAAAAAATGACGTGTGTGTTTTAAATGACGTGTGGTTTTTTAAAAATGGCGTGTGTGAAGTCGAATGAAAATGTCGTGTGTGATGTCAAATGAAAATGTCGTGTGTGTTGACGAGTCTTCAACTATGACATCAAAGAAAGCCTATGGACTCTAATTAATCAGGACTGTGGACAATTCTGTTTTTTTTTAGATATTATTGGAATAACTCGAAATTGGCTAATCTCTGTTGAAATTAGGTAATTACAATTCCCGACTAGTAAGATCAAAGCGTTATCACAAAACATCTACGTACCAGGTCCAATTGAAGTTGTTATTCATGCATAAATACATAACGACAAAGACTCCTTTTGTGTGCTTTACTCAACAGTCAAATGTTGGCCGAAAGTGGGTTTTGAATCCATAGCAACAATCAAAGCTGTAGAACCTCTAACGTCTAAGCTGTTTGTACTTTGATGGAAAATAAACAAATTAAGTGATTACTTCATCCGTATTGTATGAGCAAATGATAAAACTTCAATAGTCTCTTTTGCAATCATGTAAATTAAGTTTAGCTATGAGGTGTCATACTGGATAGTCCAGCTGTGCTACCAAAAACCTACCCTGTTTCTTGTAACATAATTGGGTCATTGTAGGCATCACAAGCTCCCACAGGTATTACAGTCTCTTACACCACCAACTAGAAACACGTACTCTGGTTATACGATACATTTATTATATATGGTCAATCGGAATGTTCACTCCAACAAGTATAATAAGTTTCATTACGGAATCAGAATAGGGTAGTAAATCTCCAGAATATGGTTCTAAAATATACAAAACAAAATGGGGAAACTATAAATATTCGAAGCAAATCAAACAATTCTTATAAAATGTACAGTAAATTAAAATATATACTTCTTTTAATATGTGCAAAAAGTCGAGCGATACAACCAATAAATATACGGCAAATAAAATGTGTAACAACAAATAACAATGCAAACTGCAAAACATTTGGCAACCATTTTGACAAGCCAAACACACATTGCATACCATGTGCTCTATTAAACGTGCAGCTGACCACATGTACGCAATGTGTTTGGGCACAAAAAATGGGTGGCAAATAGTATAAATTACAAAACAACTTTCAAGAAATAAGTCGTAACGAATACTAACATTTACAGACTTGCAATAATAACCAAAAGTAAGAGTGATAAAATTAGAGTTCATTCTAGTACTCAAACTTGTAACAAATTACTGCAAATAATTTCTTGCTGATGAAGCCAACAATGATAAAACCTTCCTTACCTCGTTTAGTGGCACCTTCCCGGACCAGGACCAACACGGCAGGACAATTCAGAGCAGGCACAGAGACACGTCGTCACTCTTTAGAACCACACGCAGAAGTGAAGACAATAGCCTGCCTGGCCCAGAGTTCACAACAGGTCAAACAGGGGAAACATATATATATACACCCACAACATAAGGCACACCTGTTAAATTTCCTTTCACTGGCATGGACAAATATTCATGGAATTCTCCCTAGTTATCAAACACTGATTCTTGGAGGAACAATGGAGGATAAGGGAACAGCTATTTCCCGAACAAGAGATAATGTAGCTGCTACAATTGATGAACTATATTCCTTGTGTCACAAAGAAGCAGATACCAGACTTATTGCACATTTAACATACTGTACATCGTCACTTGGATATCAACGTGATGTTGTTCAAGCAACTGATACTGACTTCTTAATATTGTGTTTCTATCATTATTGTATGCTAGACAATCTTTTGGGAAAATGGAATTGTTTCTGCCTATTCATGATCTGGCATCTTCCCTGTGCAAAAATATGGAAATAGTCCCAAAAATATGGCTTCTGCTGTCTTTGCTGTGTACACGTTAACTGGCTGTGACACGTTTGCAAAAAAAAAAAAACGTTTGTTCAAATTTATGGGCACACAGGATTTGATTCCCTTGACATACTTCGAGAACATTTATTTCCAACAAGCAAGAGGGAATTGAGAGTATTGCCTCCAACTGAAGATGCATTCTAACAGCATTTATTAAGAGCATTATATCAGCTGTGAATATATAAACGAGCACATATGAACGATATGGACTTGCCACCCATTATTAAATTTGGCCGTTTTGTGGAGAGCGGAAAGCTAGTTCTTGTAATGATGACAAAACCGAGTAAATTTAGCACTGTAAAGTCCACATATTGCGAATGCAATCCCACTGTATGCAAGGAAGTTCTTGTGCTAGAGAAGGTGCATAGTTGCTTGTAAATGTACAGGGGACCCATACTCTGATTCTGCTAGCTGCAATCTTATAATTGTAACTATATGTTATTGTTTTATTATGATAGATATATATATGTGATAATTTTTGTTTCTTTGCTGCTAAAATTGTAGTTCTGTCTCTTAATTTCTACCTCTAAAATTTGCAAAAATATCAGTTAATCCTAGAATAACTAAGAGATGTTAGTTTTAAACGAAGTTTATTTGAAAATCGCATACATTAATTATAAAATATTCCAATTAGCTCATTAACATGCACATGCGCTAATTATATTAACTTTGCACTTTTCAAACAACAAGTTATAAAACCATGTTTCCTGTTATTAAACATTTCCTTGGCAAACTACATTGAGTTAGTTCATGTATTTCGAAATGTGAAACATAATTTCGATTTTGATATCTCGGCAGGGGCATTTATTACAAAACAGCTATAACAAATTTGCGCAAGAGCATCCCATTTCATAAACAGCAAATATCCATAAACACAAAAATATAGTCAGAAAAAGTATAGCAGACGGTGTCAGGTTCTTGACTATTAGTGGCTCTTGGCTCTCTGATTATAATGCATAAGAGGCTAATTTACACACATTTGAAATTTGTTTATGGATAAAGCATAACTATCAATGTGAAACACAAGATTCTTCACTAGATCAGAAGGATTGATTTCATCAGAACCGACGCGAAGGCATGATA